ATTTTTTAATTCATATAATATCTCCACGTTGAATGTGATGGTTATGTCTAAATCTCATGTAGCAGCAATGAGAGTCTATCCAAATTTAATATGTAAATAAATGCAACTAGGTCTCACACGGCTAATAACGAGAAGAGTACTTGCAATCCTTATATGATTAATGATTGGATATACAATACTAAATTATGTGTTAAATCAATAGATATGTAATTATGAACATTACTTTTCAGGTCAACTGGTAACCTGTCAGTTTGAGGTGTATTCCCTTCTCAAAACCCATCCCTTGACAATTTGTTCAAAAAAAAAAATGTAATTATATTATATTTTTTTATATTAATAAAATTTAATGTGAATGGATAAAAGTACTCTTGTACTACAAATTAATAAAATTTATTTAATTGATAAAAAAAATAATGAAAATGATACTTATTATCATTATCATCATTATTATTATTATTATTATTATTATTATTTTACCAACAACAAGAATACTTGATTTGATGGCCATTTATGTTATAAGAATAATCTTTCGTAGTTATTTTGTGTGTATACTGCATCTTTTCTATTTACTAAAGAATGAGTGCGTTTTTAATATTAAAAAAATATATTCTTTCATCAATAATGATAAAAAAAATATAATTTAAGTAGAATAAAGTCAACTTCACTCTTTATTATTATTATTATTATTATTATTATGTTATAATTAGTTAGGTGTTAGTTTCTTATAAATGATCTATACCACAAAACTATAGTAACTGGGAACCGTCTCCCTTTCATTTGCATTTTGCCAACCTCAAATGCAGAAGGCAAGTCGATCTCATTTCTAACTAATATAACCGTTAAAATGCTTTACCTACTTTACTAATTGACACCCTTCCCTCTAAAATATTTTTCTTTAGGATTAATTTTCTTCTTACATATTTAACATGGTATAGTTGTGGTACGAAAGACTCACTCAAATTGAAAAAAAGTGGTATCGAGTGACACTTTGACCAATTGGGTGTCACAATTTGAGATAATGAATCAATACAAATTTACAATTGGGTCTTACAATATCAATAATAAGAATACCTGATCGGCACTTGTGCCTCTTACATATTTAACGTGATATTATTGTGACATGGAAGACCCACTCGAATTGGGAGAAAAAGGAGAGAGAGAGAAAAGGAGAGGGAGGTAAAAGAGGAAACGGTTAAGCTGTCGGTTGTTTTAAAGACTTGAGAAAAAGGTTTCTGCATGTGACTTTCTCTTCTTGTTGTTCCTTTCCTTTCAAGGCAATAACTTCACTGCCTAAAATGGAAATTATGCATAATTCCCTCCATCCTTTGCCTCAAAACCTTCTTTTTCTTGTTACATTTCTTGGCCGACTCCGGGCTTCTTCCTACTTTTCATCTTTTTCTTTGCCATCTCAAATATTTCCTTTTTATTGCACCATTTAAAACTTGGCAAAAGCTTAGTTTTAGTGCTTTACCTTACTAGATTTATAAGTTTTAACCATTTACTTTATATTATAACACTTTTAACCCATCACCTATTAGAATTTAAAAAATAGCTTTCATTTATAACATTTTGTTAGTTCTGTTAGCTGACTGTTAATTTTATTAGTTGACTATTAGTTAACTGTTAACTGACAAAAATCTACTTTCAACTAATAGAGTTAACAGTCGGTTAACAGAATTATTCTGTTAGCTGACTATTAACTATATTAGTTGATTGTTAGCTAACTATTAGTTTGTAAAAACCTACTTTCAGCTAATAGAATTAATAGTTAGCTAACATAGTTAACAATCAGTTAACAGATAGTTAATAAAACTAACAAAATATTATAAAGTAATGGTTATTTTCTTCGATTTTAATAGATGAGGGGCTAAAAATGTTATAGTATAAGGTGAGAGAGAAATGGTGCAAATAAAGATGTGAACTTTGTACTTTTTTTTTATTTAAAGATGTTAACTTTGTTAATTTCTAAATAAGGATATCAACTTTCAACTTTCAATTTTTTCTATTTAAAAATGTTAACTTATAATTTTCTCTATTTAAGAATGTCAACTTTTAACATTGCAGTTAAAAAATCCATTTATTATATTGACATTATCATCCAGTTATTCCTTAAATAAAAAAAATTGAATGTTGGTATCATTAAATAGAAAAAATTGAAAATTAACATCCTTAAATAGAAAAAATTAAAAGTTGACATTCTTATTTAAAAACTAACAAAATTAACATTCTTAAATAGAAAAAAGTCTAAAGTTGTCATCCTTTATTTACCCCTTTTCTCTAAAGCAAGAGATTAAAACTTACAAATCTAATAAGGTAAAGGGCTAAAAGAAAGTTTTTGTCTTAAAATTTTATACAAACTTTTTCTCAAATTAATTCCATTTAGTATGTTATGATTAATTAATTTATTTTTAAACAAAGGGTATTCAAAATTTAAAGGGAAATTAAAAGAATAGAAGAGAACGGTATAATTGTAAAAAAGAAAGCAAGCACTAAATCATGATATTCAGTATCTAAATATTTTTTTTAGTATATCAAATGATAAGCTATACATAGGTATGTTAATGACTTGACTATTTAGGACTCATGCTCGAGTTCACTTTAAAAATTCAAGTATTAATTTATTGAGTTCAACTATATTGAATTTATGCTCAAGTTCGTGAGTATTCAACCAAATTCGAGTCTTACTCGTGAGCTTGAGCAAACGAGTGCTTTGGCTCAAATTTGAGCATTTTCCCTATAATTTCAAATTGTTTGAATAACCAATCATCTGATGATAAAAATTTTTTACATTTTAAAAATATATTATATGTAGTACCAAAAGCTTAAACAAGAACATATTAAGTCCATTGTAAAAAAATAACCATAAATTCTATTTGATTTATTAATAATTCTAAAAACCCAAAATATGTAACTTATTTAAGTTATCTTTTCAACTTTGTTAAGTTTACAAGTTATTATATATTTAAATTTAATACATAAATATATAATATAATTGTTAATTTCAAACTAAGAACTCATAAGTAACTCACGAATGTAAGATTGAGTTTAAGCTCGTTATTTTATAGAGTTCAAGCTCAACTCATTTATCAAATGAGTTGAGTATGAGTTAAGTTTAACTCGAGTAGCTCACAAGTTACTCATAAACTATTTTACTCACTAGCAACCCTAAGTATACAATAGGGATAGCCCTCCAATTCCCTAATTAAATATCTCTCCCCACTCACCTTAAAGTTTAAACTTAAGATCTTTACCTTGAAGTCTTAAGTTGTTAAACAACTAAGACACCCTTTTGGAGCAATATATAATTAGTTCAGGTTGCAAATTAAGTTAATAAACTTTAAAAGGACAAGCCCTCCAATCTCCCCCTTAAGTATGTAGGTAGGGAAAAATCTAATGTTCAACTAATTGTAGGGATAGAATGTCTATAACTAATTGAGTTAAAGAAATGACCTTAAATTTAACTACTAACACCACCTGACATTAGCATTGGTTACTTTCTTGATTATGTGGCTGCTTTATTTGTGTTGGCAATAACAAAAAAGTTGATGTCATGTTATGTCAATAGTTAAATATGGAGTCATTTGTCCAACCCAATTAATTATAGTGGCAATTGGTTCTTGTATTTAGTTGGAGGGTGAATTTCTCTCTCTCTCTCTCTCTCTCTCTCTCTCTCTCTCTC